CTGCTATGCTACTAAATTTGGTTATTAACTCTAGAAGACTTTTGGTAGAGTTTTGGGGATCTTCTATAATGATAATTTAACTTCTTCCTTGCCTATCCATGTTATTGTCTAAATGCTCTGGCTAATATTTTCAGAATTGCACTGAACAGGAGTGATGATAGTGAGCATCCTTTTTGTGTGTTTCTGATTTTAGAGTGAAAGCTTTCATTTTTGACCATTTATTATGATTTTGGTTATTGTTTTGATTATTGTCATAGATGAGTTTTCTCAGATGGATATAAAGGCTTTCTGTTCCAATTTTCCTTAGGGTTTTTATCATGAATGGGTGTTGGATTTTGCCAAAGTCTTTTTATGTATGTATTTAGCATGTGGTTTTTGTGCTTGTTTCTGTTAATGTATTATATTGCCTTTATTGATTTTTATACATTGAGCCATTCCTGTATCCTTGAGGATACATTCTACTTGTTTATCTTTTTCATGACTTTCTGGATTCTGTTCGACAAGTATCTTCTTGAGGATTTTTGCATCTATGTTCATTAAGCAGATTGACCTGTACTTCTCTTTTTTGGTTGAATACTTCTTTGGTTATGATATCAGGGTAATACTTGCTTCTAGCAATGAATTTGGGAGTTTTGCCTCCTTTTCAGTTTCTTTAAAGAGTTTGAGGAGTAGTGGTATTAAATCTTAAATTCTTAAAGAATTTAGCAAATAATCCATCAGGACCTGGATTTTTCTTCATTGAAAGTTGTTTTTATAATATCTTTAATTTCCTTGGCAATTGGATTATTTACAGTTTTATATGTTTTTGATTCATTTTTGGTAATTTGTATATGTCTAAGAATTTGTCCATTTCTTCTATTTTCCATCTTATGAAAGTACAGCTTCTCAAATTAGGTACTGGTGATCTTTTAGAATTCTACAGGATCCATTGTGATTGCTTCTAGTTTATTACTAATTGGGTGGATTTTTTGGCTATTTGTACTGAATATTTCAAAGAATCAGCCCTTCAATTTATTGATTTTTATAGTTTCCTAAGTCTCAATAGTATTAATTTTTCTTCTGATATTTGTATTTGTCTTCCTCATACATGCTTTGGCTTTAACTTGGACTTTTACTAGAACCCTGAACTTCAACCTTAGGCTATTTATTTGAGTTTACTCTGTTTTCCTGATGTGGGAGTTTGCCACTATAATTTTTTTCTCATATACTGCTTTCATTTCATCCTGTAAGATCTGATATTGTCATATTGGCATTATTGTGTTATCATAGAAACTGTCTAATCCAATAAGATTCACTAAGATACCCATTCTGGTTTGACTATTGTCTTCTTTGGAAGTCCTGTAATGTTTACAATGCCTAAGTTTTATTGGTCTTGTTCTCTACTGTTTTGTCCAACTTTATAATATCTAATAAGATAGACAATTCTTTTTAAGGAAACAAGGGACAACGTTGATAACCATTGTTGATAAACTTGTACTCTGTTCTACACCATGTGCTATGTCTATCCTTGGTATTGACTGACAGCTTTGTTTTGCCATATTTGACTGTATTCTTCCCCCCCCCCCCAAGAAAGTAATAAGCACTAAGGAGTAATAAAATCCAAGATGTGTAAATTTTGTTGTAAAAAAGAGAGGGGAAAAAAAAGAAAAGAAAAAGAGCTCTAATGGATATAACAGCAAGTGTGTTTGGGGGTGTTAAATAGCTGACTTTATCAATGTTTTTGGAACATTGAACACAGCTGTTTGCAGTCTCCCTGTTTGAATGTCCACCTTGTGTTCTTTGATACTGTGATTTGAGGAATTATTTTCAAGAAAATAGTGTGTAATCTACTAGCAGGTAATTTCTTGCTGTTATGTTTTTTTGTTTTTGTTTTGTTTTGTTTTGTAGTTCTGTATTGCGTGTACCCTTACGCCGCTTTGGTTTGTTTTGTGTTTTTCTCTTTTTCCTCTTAAATAAAAAAAAAAAAAAGAAAAAAAAGAAAAAAAAAAGAAACTGTCTAATCTCTCCTTTAATTTTATCTGTGACATAGTTGTTCAGGAGGTTACTAATTAACTTTCATGTTTTTATGTTTTGTGGATTCTTTTTCCATTTTTCCCATTTCATTGCACTATGATCTGATAACATGCATGGGATAATTTCAATTTCTTTGTGTTTATTTAAGCATATTTAATGAATTAATATGTGGTTTATTTTGGAGAACATCCTGTGTGCTCCTGAGAAGTTTGTATTTTCTGTTATGGGATAGAACACTCTGTAGTCTACTAAGTCCATCTGCTCAAAGGTTTAATTCAGCTCTGTTAGTTTTTTGTTGATCATTTTGTCTATTTTTTACAATAGGGTACTGAAGTCCTCAATTACAATTGTATTAATGCCCATCTTATTTTTCATTTTCACTAATTTTTATCAACTGTTGCGCCAATATTTGGTGCATATCTCTTCCTTTTATATTGTTCCTTTAATAATTAAGTAGTGTGCTTGTTTGTCATCTTATCAGTCTTGGTTTGAAAACCACTTTGTATGCAAATGGAATAGCTATTCCTATTTTTTCTGGGTTTATTTTTTTATTTTAAAGAAAAAACCAAATACAGTGGTGCAAAATTTCAATACAACATTGTAGGAGAATAATAATGATTAGTACACTGTGTATCGTTATTTTCAAAGTAATTGCTCCTATATAAGCTATAGGCATGAAAAATTAATTAAACAATATAGCCACACATCTTTCTTTTCAATGAACTAATATCAATCAGCAGTATATCTTAACTGTTTTATATATAGATATAGATATAGATATAGATATAGATATAGATATAGATTTCGTTTTCTCTTTCCTTTTTCTCCTTTCTCTGTCTGTTTCCTTTTGAACAGCTTCCTTTCACTTCACAATATCTATTGTAAATTGCAGATCCCATTTACTTTTTCAGCTTCTTATAGTAGGGAGACAAAATGATCTTTACTTGTGGGAGTCTGATTTATTTCACTTGTGAGTATGGTCTCAAGTTGTATCCACTTATAAATGTTTCACTTTCATCTGTTATGAAGAAAGGAATCAAGATATGTTACATATATGTACCAACTCAGCACAAGAAATATGTACATTATGTGTTTCATATATTTCCCCCAAAAAGAAAGTGAATGGGCAGGGGAAAGAGAGAAGGGATAGGTGATAAAAAAAAGGAATTAAGTTGTGTTTTTTACAGGTATCTGTTTTTTTTTTTTCTTTTTCCTTTTTTTTTTTTTTTTATCAGTACCGGGGATCGAACTCACAACCACCTGCTTGCAAGGCAGGTGCTTATGCCGCTGAGCTAAATCCCCAGCCCTCATGTATCTGTTTTCCAGAAGGAATGTAAACATTGTGTACTATAAATAAATGCTAATGAAAAATAAAGAAAAAAATTCTTTAAAAAGTATATAAATTCAAAAGGTTTGGCTGCTTATGTTATTGGCTGAAGTACCAGATCACTTCTCTGAGCATATTTTCTTATCTTTAAAATAGTAAGTAATAGTGAGACTCAAATCATTCAATGCAGATCAAGTGATGTACTGGATATGAAAACACTTTTCAAACAGTATAGGACATAATATTTGAAATGTGGTGTTATGAAAGATCTTGCTAGAAATCTTGTATCCATATGATTAATTCACACTTTATTTTTTGTAAGAGGCACCAAGACTAGAATGCTGAACAATGAATTTTGTTTAGTTAGGACCTGATGAAAAGTACATTTTGACTCAAAATGTTATGATTATATATGTCTGCATACGTGTGTGATGTGTTATGCATTCATCCCATGACCATAGGCAAGTATGGTCTAGAGTAGACCTATGAAAGAGAATACACATTCCTGCATAATGTCTATTGTTTTTAAATTGTTTTGCCTTCAGTCTTAGGGTCCCATGATTGCTTTCGGGAATGAATCCTTCTTCAGAGCAGACTGATGAAAAAGCTAAAAGTTAGTTTAAAGCTTAAAGTTAAAGGACATATCTAAGAATTTACGGCTGGGGAGAGAGTGCTTAGGTTCCTATGCCTGACAGGCTATATGTGATTTATTCTAGAGTATGTTTCCCTAGATGCTGGGAAGACTAGTGATCCCAGGCTGGAACAGTTGAGTGGAAAAAGTGAACAAAGAATAGTGGTCAGAATGATAGCCAGCGAGAGCCAGATTACTCTTAATCCCACCATTATCACTGTGCTTAGATGAAAATCATGAATATGTGTGTTTATGTGATGGGTTTCCTGCTGTTGTTTATAAAATGGTCTATGAGCTAGGTTGGGGTGACTACACAGGCTTTGCCTTGCTGGGGTGATCCTTATAGCTCATATCTCAACTTCTTTGCTGCCCAATTTGATGTGTATCACATGCACGATCAACTTAAACTCCCTTTGTATCTCACAGGGTGATTGTGTAGAGCACTGAATTAATCTGTGTCATGGTTGAGTTTCTTGGGCACAGAGTATCACAGACTATCATAGGTTTTCATACCCATGAACTTTCTAGGCAGTATCATGGGTGACTGAGGGCAGGAGGCTGTAGCACTGGGGTCTACTATATGTCAGGAGTATCATGATCTGTTACTCCATGGAGAGGCGTACATGGGAGTACCTTCAACTCTCAATTGGTCAGTTACAAGAAATGGAAAGGGCAAAGAGCACAGACAATTGAAATCTAGTACATGTGAACCTCATTTTAGCTATTGATTTCATGTTGGGAAGATTCCAGACTCAGAGCTGCCTTGAAACACCAAAGAGATGAACTGGAGCTTTCTTCGCTAGGGGAGATCTTAACACATGTATAGTCTATATCCACACATTGGGTCACTCTATGCATTGGCTAATGGAAAGATGACAGTCTGTATTCTATTGCCATTCCCCTTACCCCTAGTCCTACCAGTAGAATGTGTAAGATTTTCCCTAATTAGTAGAGCTCTGTGGGTGGGTAAAGGAACAAGAAAGGTAGCCAGCTGTGTGGACTGAACGCATTCTTATTTTGTCTCCTAAGCTGATCACTGGAGAGTCCATCGTTAGTGCTGAGGCAGTATGGGATCACGTCACCATGGCCAACCGGGAGTTGGCATTTAAGGCTGGCGACGTCATCAAAGTCTTGGATGCTTCCAACAAGGATTGGTGGTGGGGCCAGATCGACGATGAGGAGGGATGGTTTCCTGCCAGCTTTGTGAGGGTGAGTGTCAGTCTTCACTCTCCTCTTCTTTCTCCTTGGCTTCGTATTCCTGGCTTCCCCTTCACTAGCCCGTTATCCTGCTCAACCCTCTCATGGTGGCTTTTCTCTTACTATTTTATTTTACTTTATTTTATTTTATTTTTTGTCTCCTACATAGGAACTGGACTTCATCTTTCCAATTTTTAAATGTTTCCTTTGTCTCTTGTGTCATTTGTTTATTTTAATAACCCTCTTCACTTCCTACCGTTGTTCAAATCACTTCCATCATCAGGCTTTAATTTTCCTTTCTGATGTTGGCCTGGATGGTTTTGAAGAACCATTTAACTATATATTCTATGAACTTTTTTCTTTTCTAGTATTTCTTTTTAATGTTTTTTCTCTTTTGTCTTTGATTCTTATAGATCTTTCCCATCTTCTCTACTCTCTTTACTCTGTAATTCCATATACTCCCCTTCTCTCCTTTTTTTCTGCTTTGTTTACCTTGCTTGATTCAGGGAAGTATGAATACCCTGTGTGTTTTCATTGGACTCTTAATGTAACTGTATCTATGCCATGCCCAACCGCTGAGCTAGGCTTACTGATTGCCAACTACTTATTGAAAGAAAGTCAAATGATTGGTATCTAAAATGTGCTTGGTGTGGTAAGCAGCTAGCCTACAGGGGCTTACAAGGCCTTGCATTTGTACTGTGAAAAACCTGGACAGTAACAAAGGTACTCTTAGGAGGGAATTTCCAGCAAATTTTTCTTCCTCTGAGTCACCTAATTGGGTGCTGTGGGGGAAGAACACTGGACAGGTGTCCCAGCTCTTGACCTTCCTTAAGATTGTGAGATGGAATTTGTTCTTTATTGTAAGCTTAGATTCTTTCATCTACAAAATGCTATTGGCAGTTCTCTAATGTCATGGCATGTCTCAGTGAATGAGATAAAATGTGAAAATTGCTTCATGGCAAGACAAATAGCAAAGGATCATGAGGGTGTGTTATGACCATAAAACCTATTATTTGTGTTAGTTTCCCTTATATAGGGCCTGAATCTTCTACACCACAAACAAAAACTTGGGAGATTGAAGAGCCTCAAGGATTACATTATGGTAGAGTAATATGAAGGAAGAAGCAGGGTATTTGGAATTAGATAAGCTGAGACGTAGCTTTACTACCTTCTGCTTCTGTAAATTTTGACACAATTTTTAATCTCCCTGATCTTTGGTTTCCTTATCTTAAAATTAGAGCTAGTGCAATTTTATACAAACTTAATGAAATGACATCTGGAAGTAAAATATCTATCATAATGCTTGATACTTAACAGGTACACAGCAGATAATAATTTGCTTTATAATCATCATCATCATCATCATCATTACTACCACCTTATTAGCTCAAAGAAATTAGCTCCAAGATTGCTCCTAGGGGTTGAAAAAAGGCTTCCTTTATTGGAGGGCTACAAAACTGGAATGTATCATTATCTGGTTGGGATGATCTAGGTGAAGACACTGACCAAAGGGAGAGGTAAAAAAAATTGAACACTCATCCTTTTCTATCCTTAAAGATATATCCAATTATTTCTTCCTTGAATATGTACCATCTTTCATTAACATTTCAAGATGCCATCTGCATCACAGATCAGCTTCACCAGTTGATGAATCGAACCTAAGGGTAGTCATAAAGAGCACATCAATAACTATGAGCCTTAAGGACTAGTGCTAGGTTCTATACACATACGGCTTAGATTTCTTGTGTTTATAAGCCCCTGTCTCTTTAAAAGAAGATTAAATCACACCCAAATACAAAAGCATTTTACTTCCAGGAAAATGTCACATTTATAATATACAGTAAATCAAGACATGGAGGGCAGGTGACTGAGTAAACCAGGATGGTTTGGAGATGCAAAGGACAGAATCAGGCTGCAGAATATCTGTAAACAAACATTTATTGATCTTCCTAAATCCAAAACAAGAGGACTGTTCCTCCAGGCATACAACACCAGCAGCCACTTGGTATAGAATGATTATCAGTGGTTCTCACCCCTGGCTGTATAGCAAAGTAAATTGATTGAGTAGCAGTTAAAGAAATTCTAAACAAGCAAATATGGCTACAAGCTAGAATCCAGGCTAATTCAATAAGAATCTTCAAAGATACGACTCAGAAATTAGAATTTTTTAACCTAGTTCCCAGAATATTTTACTGTATAGCCATGATTAAGAGGTACTGATTTTTTGTCAGACAATAGAATATATAGTGAGAGTCACAAATGCAATTTAAATTTTTTAATAATCACATTTAAAAAATGAAAATTATAAGTAAAATTAGTTTTCACATGTTAGACCAGTATATAAAAAATGGTTTATAGTACTATATATTATAAAACATAAATTATTAATAGTGATTGAATTTTTGAAATTTGGTTTTTAGTATCTCAGTTTATACTAGCAGCATTTCAGCAGCTTTGCTCACTAACCTCCTATAGCTAGTAACAACAGTATAAATCTAAGTTTACAATAAATACTGTGATGATAAACCTGGGGCAGTAATAGTAATCACTAAGTCAAAACTCAGAATTTCTATATTCTTTCTACTATAGCGGTGTTTATTACTTTAAAAAGTAAGATAATGTTCCATGTTGCCTTATACTATAGAGTATTTAGTTGATTACTGTGAACTTTTCTGTATGTTTTAAAAGACCTTTATCTCACTAAGGAAGAGTAACAAGGAAATCTTAGGGGCCAGTTTTTGTGGCTTCACCAGTAGAGAAAATCATATTGAGCTGCTGAATGAATGATATTAGTTTGAAGACAGATCTTTTCATTTTTATGAATGACTGTTTATACTTACATTTATAATAGACTATAATAAACATTTATAATAGACTATAATAGACATTTATAAAAGACTATAATAAACAAAAGGTTCCATGATAGACGTTACAGAAGCCCTTTTGTAGTAGATTTTAAAAGTGGAAATAATGTCTCTGTTATCCTACATTGTCTTTGGTTGGAGAAAAGAATAATATAATGAAAACAGTGCTATCTAGATTAAGAAATGGCACACTTGATTTTTAATTATGATTTTAACATTCATTCACTATACAATCTTGGGGTTTTATTTTGTTCATCTGTCAAGTACTCTAGAATCTGTTCAAGCTCTAACATGTCTAGGTAGGACATAGAAATGGATCACACTAAATTAGTCCTCATAAAGTTGGTAAATAGATATTTTCTTGGAATTTGTACCTTTATACTGTAAGAGAGTTGCCTTATTTATTCAAACTTACCCTGAGATAAGATTTATTAGCATCTTGGGAACATCATTGCTAAGTTATTTGGCAAATAGCAGGCAAGTATAATAACAAGGAAAAGTCTTAACCCTGACTCCATACCACCTGCATACTTTTGAATAATGTTGGATCAGATTGGTGACAGACTCTATTTCCTGTCTGAAAGCTTCTTTTTGTGTATGTATGTGTGGTGCTGGGGATCAAAATCAGGGCCTCGTGCATACAAGGCAAAAGATGTATGACTGAGTCACATCCCCAGCTCTGAAAGTTTCATTTTTGTGTGAACATGTAAGCCCAGGGATGGATGATCAAGACTTGTTAGTATGATTCTGTCTATATTAGCCTTATCTGTTGTTAGTCTTGTTAAAGCCAAATGTAAAATCTAAGAAACCCAAATTCTTGGCTAAGTTTTGTCATTAGTCATTGGATATGCACCTAGTTTTCCTTTGTAAAATGGGGATTGTAAAATGGGGATAATTGGGTCTTGTGTAAATGCTTTGTAATATATGATGTGTCCATTTCCCACACAAGAAATTTCCAGGTGTATTGTCTTCTATGTAGTCAAATCTGTCTCCCTCATTGTTTAGAATTTCATATTTTCATTTGTGTGTTTGTGTATGTGTTCTCATCTTCTTTTTCTTATGTGCTGGGTATGTTACTTTATAAGAACAAGGGTTGATGTACCATCCCAGTATTTGGTTAGGTTTAATGAATTATAGCTTGCTGAATATTTATCTCTATATCTAATCGATTAACATCATTATCTGGTTTCCTGGGCTGGTATCCCCTGTAGGAACTGTGAACAGTCTACTGTGATATGATTCTATAAGTAGCAAATCCAATCCCTATTGTAGGCTTCCTTTTACCTGCTGGGCCTCAACTTCAAGTCATTCAGACACCTTTGTTTAGTTACTGTGCACAAAAGAAATCTTTATTTTTATATTGGGCCTTGGCTTGGGAGAAATTGCAGCCATCTTGAAAGCAAGTTGTGTATGGAACACAGTTATTGATAGAAGGTGAGGCATGTGTGAAAAATCTTGAGTTTGGTCAAAACATAAGGAGCCTGCTGAGTTGCCATCAAGACCTAGATATATTTTTTCTTAATTTTTAAAAACATTCTACATTTCTTTGGTTTCTGCTTTGCCTGGAGGTGTGGAGATGAAACTATAAAAGATTATTTGTTTCATTCCTTGCTTCTGTACAAATAAAATATCACAGAATCTCAACCTCTCCTGTTTGTGGGGAAGACCACTATTAAAGTGTTACTTGGCTTTTATTTATATAATGTCTCCTTTTGCAGCCAAAAAGGACCTTGAGAAAAGCTTTTCATCTGCGTGAAACCCTAGACTCACTGTGGATGAGAACTAGAAAGCCTACCTTTGCTGAGGTGGCCAACTTAGGTGTTTATAGCAGCCAGGCAGGTAATTTTCCAGAGTGAAGCAGTCTGATTCAAGGTGTAAGTGGGGGTCTATGTCCAATTGGAAATGTACATTGTCAAGCTTGGGATGATTTTAGATATGCCAGTTTTGCTTATCCATTCAAACTTCAAATCATCATAAACCTCTAGCCTTAACCATCTGTGCTGAAGGGCACGCAATAAAGCCCTAGAGGTAACATATTATAGGCTCTGTGATTTAAGGGAGATATTAGTGGGACCCCTTTCTCCATAGGTTGAGGTTTTTTTTCCATACATTAGAATTTGAAATTGCATTGTTAATACTTTAATTCAT